CAGCATCGTCAGTGAGTCTCGCCATTCGTAGCACCATATTACAACTCGTTGAATGGACAAGTGAAGCCCATCATTTGACCAAACGTGTGCTAAACAGTTATGGTATCTCGTCTTCTGCCCTGACCTATTCACATTTAAAATAGGTAATTTAGTCAATCACTATAACAAATAAAACATTGCTTCATTAATAATCCCACTACAAAATGTGATATGTGTAAAGGTTTGCCTTTAAAATTTACCTCTGCCCTATGGCCAAAGGACACTCGTGGCAATGTGGCGTAGTGGGTAACGTGGTACGATTAGGCATTGCACTCTCACGGTTTGAGTCCCGATTTGGGGGCTGAATGGACCTAGGCAAGGTCGAAACTGCAGTCCACTATGGGTGAAAATACTTTTTAAGAAGCAAAGTTATGTGAGATTCAATGGATACGTGAGGCCTACTCATATTATTATAAGAAACTACAACTACAAGTCCTTTATTACCATAACGAAATAAGGTCAATTTATCTCATATACTTGTAGTTTTATCTTACAGTTTCGACAAGCGTTCTGTTTTGTAATTGCCTGTATTTATGCACTGCTCCCTGATTGTGTCAAATATCCATAAGTATTTGCTCCTTAGTTTCTTACACTCATTGCCTCTAGTCCTGCATCTATAAGTGTTTTTATTTTTTTATTAAATCTCATCTATATTTAGCTTTCAAAAATCTCTGGGTTCAGAAATCTGAATTCGCTATTCATGTGGCTAATATGGGATTACTGAGGGGAAGACTAAGGAATCAATGACAATTAACAAAATAACAAATATCTGATAGGGAAAGAAGGGGGGAAGGAACTTAAATGGTGTTACTTCTGATTATAGGATAGGATAATGAAGAGGTAACAGGATGAGACACTGAATAAGAGAGGGCCTGATTTATCCCAACGTCGGATTATGACTCTAATATGTTAATTGATTCATGAGTGTAGTGTGCACTCAACCTTCGCCCAATCACACACTGTAGCATGTTTAAATAATGTAGAGTCAAATTACATGTTA